TTTGCTGTGAGGGTTTGACTGGCGCCCCAGCCAGAAATAGAATCACAGAATCATAGAATGGTTTGGGTTGGAAGGGACCTTGAAGATCATCTGGTTCCAGCCCCCCTGCCATGAGCAGGGACATCTTGCACCAGCCCAGGTTGCTCAGAGCTCTGTCCAACCTGGCCTTGAACCCTGCCAGGGAGGAAAGGACGTCCTCGTTCTGCGGGCAGAGCCTGCTGTTCCTGTGCTCCTGCCTTACGCTGTGCGTCCAGAAAGCTGGGGCTGTAAACAGTTACCTTGAGTCAGCAAAGCGTGCGAGGTGCTTTCGTGGTTATGTCATGTAACACTTATGCGCTGGTAATTTTTTGGCTAAGAAGGGTTGCCAGGTAATTGAAGGTAGGCAGAAAGATAGCGTAGTGAGGGTTATGTAAAGAACGCTGAAGCATCAGATTATATGTTCTGTGCCTGCAGTCAGTTTAGGCTGAAAATAGACGGCTCAGGGTTCAGCGTGCATGAACTTGGTACTGTGGGTGTGTGACCTTTATGCTGTGGGTGTGTTAGGAACTCCTCTAGGTTTACAAGCTCCTATTAGTTTCGCTAGGATTTAGGCTTTGGATGGATTCTTCTGGACTTAAGATTCGCTTACAAAGTTACTAGCTCCTATTAGCTTTGCTAGGATTTAGGCTTTGCCTTGAATCTGGTGGATTTAAGATTGACTTACAAAGTTACTACTCCTATTCCCAGGGGAAGAAAATTTGCTGCGGTCGCTTTACTTGGAGGCTAAGCAGTAGAGACGGCAGCACATGCTGAACAGGACTAGTAGCTGGTCTTTTGATAGTGAAGCAGAAGTCGTGAGTGGCATGTGGTCAAATTTTAAAAACATGGCATATGTTTGATCGGGTAGGGGGAGGGAGTGCTAGTGGGGAGGGATGCACAGAGTGGGGTGTGGTTGGAACTGGCTGTTGACAAGAGTTATTGAGGCCCATTTGCCTTGCTCAGCCTGGGTTATCGGAACCAGGGATAGGTCAGTTAAAAATACTGTATAAGGATAGATGGACACTCCAACGTAGCTGTCGAGGCAGCTGAAAATCTCCATTCATTGCTTGAAGAATTTATAACAAAATTGGCTTGTTTTGCACCCGAACAGTGAGCAGATTTTCCAGCATTTAGAAAGAAGAGCAGACCCTTTACCACAGATAAAGCTTGTAGTTGTGTTCAGAAAGGAGCGTTTTGACTTTTTTTAGCTTTTGAAGTGGCTTTTGTGTTTGAATTCTTCTCAATGTCTGTCCCTCTTCTTGTGCTAGGTAGCCGTACCTGTCTGATTTGTGGCAGGCTTTGTACTGGGTTAGCAAGTCAGTCCTGCTGCCAGTGTTTCGGAAGCAAATACCGAGTTGTAAATGTTTACTTCCCACTCTTGTTGCCTCTTGGTGCATCTAGCACTCTGTCAAGCTTTGTTTTGAAATTTCATGAAGAGTTCTCGATTATGGTGTGTCTGTCCCTCGTAATTCTCAGAATGTGTTTTTGCTACAGAAGAGATCCCTGAATTATTTCCCACCGTGGGCGTTCTCGGTGGAGAAATGGGAGTTACCAGCATTGCTTCAGTAACGCCCGAGTTAGTGGCAGGAATCAGGCCTGAGTGGTACCTGCTTGTGTATCCACAGGAAGATGACGGAATGCTCGAGATATCCCTGTGCGCTGTTGAGATAATTCCTTCCTTGAACAAAGTTTGCTGATTACTTTAATAATGTGTTCGTGAATATAAATTACTCTAAGTATCTGATTGTAGTTCACGGTAGGTACGTTTGTCTGCCAAACAACTTCTGAATTCTTCACCCTTTTAAGATCAGTAGGTGACTTTCTTTCAGAAGCTGAGTATGGCAGAGATTGATTTGGCACCTGATTCAGAGTACTGAAAGCTGGACAGTAAATGGAAGAACAACAGAAACCTTTTCTGTGCATTCACTTTAAGAATTCAGTGGTGTCCTTCTGATCATTCCGCACTTTGCGCTTCCCTTTTGCAGTCTGTGCACAGGGAAGTCAGTTTCTGTTGGAACTTCCTTCTCTTCTCCACAGTGCACCTCAGGGATCTTTAGAGTTCTCCTAGCTAGAATCTTTCCTTAAGTTACCATCCTTTCATATTCAGAAATTATACCTTCCTGCAGAGGGGAGGATTAAACAAAACCAGCACATATACATTCTTTGGTCTGGACCCCCCTCACAACAAAAATTTAAACTGCAAAGATTTGAGAACTTGGCTGCAGCTTGTGAAGAAGAGCTATGGTTGCAAGAGTTGTGGAACTGTTGCTGCTTTTTGTTGGCTTTTCTGTCTCTTTACCCTTGCACCTTCACTTAACGGAGCTGCGTCCCTGGCTGGTGGAAGTGTCCAGTGCCTGATAAGTAATACTGGTGTGGAAATAATGGGCTCTTTGTGTCAAGTAGCAGCTGCTGTGACAGCCAGGCTGTTCTCCATGTGTGCTGGCATTCAGTCTGTACTGCACTGGCTACAGGATGGGTTTTTACATTTCTAATGTGATCGTGTGCAAGTTTGAGTTTCGGACTACATTGCTGTCTCTCAAAGAGGAAGCATATTTTTCTACCTCAAGCTTTAACTATTGCATCTGGAACCTGTCAGCCTTGATCACGTTGGCAAAGAAATTCCATATAGAAACTGCCATTCCAGATACTGGTCTTGTTTTTCCCTTTTCTGGCCTGTCCTAGGTTTTGTTAGTGAATCATATGGCTCTTGAAAAAAACTTGAACCAGCGATCTGCTCAGGCAGGTCTCCAGAATGTCTCCAAAGGCACTGAATGGCTCCCTTTCCTCATTAGAATGCGGTTCACAGGTAACGAGCTGGTTCGTTCATTGCTTTATTTTCAGAGCCCTGTGCTGGACCCGTGTGTGTCGTTAGCTGAACGCCCAGACTCCGCACTGGTGTTTCCCGGGTCATGGGCCCGGCTCATGGCTAGTGCCAGGGGAGTAGCTCGTCCGCCGGCTTGGAGCCAAGCACCCGGCCCACCAGGTCGTCGTGCTTGAAATGCCTAACACCAAGCCACGCTTTATCTGCGGGGTGGTCGGTCACTGCCTCCTGCGTTCGTGCAGCCTCTCAGGTGTAGATTTTTCTGTAAACTCAAACTCTTTTGCCAGGTAGGGAACTTGGGACAACTTGCGGCAGACAACCTGAGGAATTCAGAAGACTGGACATTGGCAAGGCTTTTGTCTTCCAGCCGGTGGCAAACTCAGCCAGCTGGTGCAGTAGTGTGGACTGCTCTTCTGGTTGGTTTGGAATGGTGCTATGAACTTTTGAATGGCTAGGAATGGTACTGTGGCAAGAGAGGTGCATTTGTTAGGGGATTAGGCTTGAATAGATGCTAGTGCCAGTGTTCCTTTGGTGTGTGGCTTTTTTACAAAAGAATCAAGACCCAGGGCATTATGTTTGATATCTTCAAGAAGCATACACAGACAACAAAGAAAATTCCGTGTTTTTCAAATTAGCATTTTGAAACCCTGTGAGACTATTTCTTGCTGAAGTGAAAGGTGAGAATAAAAATAATGAAAAAATCAGATCTCGTCTCCAGAAGGGGCAGGTATGGTGGGACAGAGTGTCCAGCTCTTTCAGGAGAGTAAGCCGCAGTGCCGTACCTCAGAGAGTACCGAGCAACCTGTAGAATTGTGGTTTAGTTGGTGTCGCATGAAAAGCTTTTATTCCTTTACCGTATTAAGGTTCTTCCTGAATTCTGGTGTGCAAGAAGAATATTGTTCAGTACGTATTTGCAAAAGCCTCAGTCTATTCAGCAACCGAATTGTAATGTTTGAGTGGTTTGGTTTTTTCCTTAGGAAATCTAGATGCAAACTACTTGAAGTGTTCTTTTTATGAGTGACACTAGCACTTATGGTTCCTGAGCCATGGGTCACATGCTGGAAAAGCTGTTTTCTGGCAAGCGTTAGGCTTTAGCAGCAGAAGGATGGGAATCTAGGGGTAGTCAAGGGAAACTTGGGCAAGGTATTTGGAGATCCACTCAAATATCTCATTCTTCTTGGATTCTGTACTGAAGGGCATAGAATACGTGGGGGTTTTCTGTATTGGAAGTCAGCATTGTTTGGTGCAATCTATAATTTATTCCAGTTTCTAGTAGCTTGTCGGTTATAGGAGACGGTGTCCTGGTTACGGCTGGGACTGAAATAAACTGGTATTTAGAGATGCTTAGCTGCTGGCTGCCAGGTTAGACCGTGACAGCCAGATACACAGGTTTGTCGTTTCCAAGATTATCTCAGAAAGCTCTTTTGAAAGTTTGGTGTCGTGTTCGCTGCTATTTGTTTCTGTAGCAAAAAAAATGAAGTGATAACATAAACCTCAGTTATGTATTTGTAGAAGTGCTTGGCTCTAGGCTTCTAGATCTTGACGGAAGGTCCTAAAAAAGGTTGAGCACCTGCATTTGAACTGAAGAAATCTGCAAAGGGAGAAGCATTGAGGGCATTATGCTCTTTCGAACCAGTCTCTTGTCCTGTGTCCATCTCGGAAAGCAGGGAAAGAAACAGCGTTTCATAAATCAGCTTTTCATGATGATTGTACAAAGAGCTGTATCTTAGCTGGACTAGGATCTGTTTCCAGGGGTTTTGAGAAGATGAACTGTGTCAGTGATTGGTGTTGGTGCAGGTGATCAGCGTTGTTTGAATTTCCATTCTCGACTGCTGTTTTTCTTTTTGGGGGGTTTGGTTTGTTTGGTTTGGAAGCTGTTTTCCATTTTATTTTGGAAAGCACAGGATCTGGTCCTTGCTTATAGGCTCTCCAAAATATTTCAGAAGACTTCTTGTCTCATTGAAGATAAGAAGTGGATGGCATCATGAAGAGTGAAGTCATCCCAATTATAGAGGCAAGTTACACTTTTTGTGATTCTGAGTCAATCTTGGATTCTGCTTCGAAGACCCATGAAACGGCACCAGGTAACTTCCGTGTGGTCTTGAGATTAGAATTTGATGCCGTTAGAGCTGAACAACTAAACCTGGACAGGCAGACAGGAACCTCATGAAGTTCAGCAGAGTGAAAGGCTGAGTCCTGCACCTGGGGAGGAGCAACCCCAGGCATTAGTAGGCACTGGGGGCTGACTAGCTGGAAAGCAGCTTTGGGGGGGAAGGACCTGGGCGTCCCAGTGAGCAACAAGCTCCTCATGAGCCAGCAGTGTGCCCTTGCGATAAAGAAGGTCAGCAGCAACCTGGGCTGCAGAAGGCAAAATATTGCCAGCAGGTCCAGGGAGGGGATCCTGCCCCTCGCCTGGCACTGGTGAGGTCACCTCTGGAGTGCTGGGTCCGGTGGTCAGAGTACAAGAGAGACGGGGACTCACTGGAACGGGTCCAGGAAAGATGGTTGAGGGATTGGAGCATCTTTCAGCTGAGAGAGCTGGGACTGTTCAGCCTGGAGAAGGCTCGGGGCTCACACTTACCAATGTGTATAAATACCTGGTGGAAAAAGAGGAAGACAATGGAGCCAGACTTTTTTCAGTGGTGCCCAGTAACGGGACAAGAGGCAAAGGGCACAAATGGAAACACAGGAGGTTCTCACTGAACATCACGAAACACTTTTCACTGCGAGGGTGATGGAGCACCGGCACAGGTTGCCCAGGGAGGTTGTGATGTCTCCATCCTTCAAGATACTGAAAACCCAACTGCATGAGATCCTGGACAACTGGCTGTAGGTGCCTCTGCTTGAGCGGGGGCTTGGACTAGACAGTCTCTCCAGAGGCTTGTTCCAACCTTGTTGAGTTGGTGATAAAAAAGATATTTTAAAAAAGTGCAGAGACCTGATTTCTGTTTTATGTATGCGAGTGGATGGACTGGCTTTGGCAGAAGTGTGTATTTAAAGTTGTAAATACTTGCATTACTGTTTTGTATGATTTAATGCTGTACTTGCCATGGGGATGAAACTTTCTAGTCAGTGTAACAGGGAATAGAAAGATCTGCACGGAATTGCTGTCAAGTTGAACAGCAGTCATCATCTGAGCTCAGCAGTTGGGCATTATGGACTTTAAACTGCTGTGGATTCTGAGCATTTGTTCAGTTTGTTTTGGAAAGTTTAGGTGAATTTAGCTTTTGCAAATTTTTTCCTCAAAAAAAGGCATGACAGATAATGAGGAGCATGTCAGAAACTGTGTCTTTGTCATATGTGTGTGTCAGCATCTGATTTGGATACCAGAAGAGCGTAGTTAGGCCTGGGGGGGATTGCTCTGCCTGCTGACCTCTATCTGATTTTGTACTAAACTACACTGGCTAGCACTTTATTTCCTTTTCTTTACTGGTTTAAAAAAACCAGCATCACCAAAACCCCTGACAGACCAGCAGCAATGACAGGCATTGCTGACAGTCACGTGATTACATCTGGAACTTTAAATTGATACATGAATATTATTCTCATGTGTGAGTTTTGGGGTATACTTATAGTACACCTAAAAATCAACCAAAAATTATGACTGATGACAGACATTGGTGTGATTAAACAATGTTTTCTACTGGTTAAGGCAGCTGATATTTCATAAAGTAAAATTTAAATCCTGCTAGTCTATTGAAGGAAGGATTAAGAACAGATTTCCAAGCAAACCAGCTCTACCAGGGACCGATCCTTCGGTGGATTTGAAGACACAGATCCAAGTTTTCCTCCTTTGTTAAAGCCTATTTATGGGTTGAAATTTGCCAATAACTTTCTCCTTATATTTAGGGCTGACTAGAGACTGGAGTCTGCTAGGCCTGACATTGGTTCATTAGTCAGTAGAAGCTCCAAGAGACAATTTCTGCAGTGAGAGGAGGGGGGTTATTTCATACACAGCCTTCTGGCTAGCAAGTTGATGTATTCCCACGTAAAATAAAACAGGGGCGAGCAAAGTTGCCCTGGTCAGGCTCAGCAAACATTGAGCGGCAGGAACTGGTTTTCTGGGTCAGCTGTCTATCAACTACATTGTCTTTTTAGGCTGGAAACTTTGTTGTTTTGGACCATAACTTTGAGAGTAGTCCTGTTTCGGATCCAGAGGTCCTGTGTGTGAAGTGGAAGAGTTGCAATGTATGTGCTTGAAATACCTGAGGTGATTTTACTGCTTGAGGTGTGTCCTGTCGACTGCAGAGGAAGTCTGGATGAGTAGATACTTGCAAACGGTGCGTGTTTTTTTGAAATCGGTCCTGCCTTAATTATGAGATGGCATTTGTGAAGCTGTCGGTAACAGCGGAAATACTGTAGTATAATCATTAAAAAGAATCAGAAATATTTTTGTTCTTAAGTTGAGAAGAACTGGGAAGGTTTGGTACCTACAACAATAAAATATTTCACGTTAAGACACGCAGTATAAACGGTGTGTGCAAGTCAACAAAGTTTAGTAGAAAACAGGTCTTACTGAACAAACCTGATCTGATGCTTTGAAATTTCGAGCGAAATTTCGAGCGTGGTCACCAAAGGCGTTAGTCGCTTGTTGCAGTGTGTGAGGTTGGACGGGGCTCTGAGCAGCCTGATCCAGTGGAAGCTGTCCCTGCTCAGCGCGGAGGGGTTGGACGGGATGGCCTTCAGAGGTCCCTTCCAGCCCAAACCCTCCTGCGATTCTCTGTTCTGATGTCGTGGTAGAAAAGCAGTGCACAAACCAGTAACACTCGTTGGCTGATCAAATTGTAAACTGTTATTCAGGGTCAGCATTTTATTTGGATGAGGGGCTCACGTATGTCTGCGTGAAGAAAGGTAGACTTGCACTGTTCAGTTGCTGTGTTCATGATCTGCGGCTGAAAGAGAGGTAACAGGTAACGGGAAGGCATAGACGGAGGGAGGGCGAGTACTGAGAAATCAGTGCAACCGCTCACTCTAGATGGCTCAGTGTACAGTATTCGCTGCAAAACACTGCTTTTCAATATTGCTGGATATATTTATCTAGAAGTCAAGAGTACTGAATGCTAAAGAGGAGAGGAAGGAGGCTATAGCGTGCAAAAACTGCAACTCAGGACGACTCGTGGATGGAAGGAATATGAGTGAACGTGCCAAATAGTTGAGAGCAGGTTTGATCCAGGAATAGAAATACTGTTGATCAGAACCAAGAAGTCTCTGTCTGGTTTTGTGTAGTCAGTGCGTGGATGCAGCGAACAGTCGTGGTGCTAGCGCTTGCAGAATGTCAGTAAGCTTAAAAAAAAAATCAGTGGTAAGAATTATTTTGAGTCAAAGTAGACCCACCCTATTGCAAGAAAATTTTGAAAGCACATTGAGCCTCAGCTTGAAAAGGGAGTTTGAAATGGTTAGTCTTGTGATTTATAAACACTTGTGTAAAGAGTAGGTGACAAATTGAGGTCCAGTGACTGTCACCTGAAGCTGGGCACTTTTAGATTTAAAATGAGGATTTTTAATGATGGATAATGAGCGGAACACTGGAGAAATTTATTTTAACTCTCATCTTACATTTTCAGTGCTTATTAATATTTTACACTAAGATTTTTATTCCCTAAAGTAAAACTTCTAATTTAGCAAGAACTCTGTTGTTTTTATTGCTGAATATACCAATTCAGCGTCTCTGGAAGAAGTGAGATGAGAGGATCAGAAAGCATCTTTTCTGTTCTGAATATACTAAACTTGATATTTCAGGGGAACTTTCTCTTACTGCCATTCAAGTTAACCACTGAATCCTTTCTGTGATATGTTCTAAAAACATCTTTTCTTCAAATGTACTGTTTGAGTTAATTTGCCAAAGCATGAGAATCTTGCACTGATGAGAGCAAAAAAAAATGGGGAATTTCTTTTTTCTTTCTTTATAGAAGTCATTCTACAGGAGGATTCTCATATGCTTTGCTCCCAGTAGCATTTGGAAGAGAAATTTAAGTAGAGTTCTTTTGTATCTTTCAGTTGTTATACGTAGGGGTTTTTCAATTAATTGGTGTCTGCTTTCTGTGCAGTATTTCTGGTTTTGTTTCTTGTCCTGGTTTCCTAATGGTGCTCCTTAAATCATGGAATGGAAATGATCACCATGGATTGTATGGCTTATGCCTATTGCTTTTCCTCTCCGTTTCCCTTCTGCAATGTAATTTTTCAAGTGCTACGGTTCCTAAGTGCTGCTTGACAAGCAGGAGGCACAGACCCCAAGGATGCATGCTTGCCAGGCCTTTTCAGAGGAGCGGAACAACCAGTATGTCAGTATTCCTTACGCCTTAGCTGCAGTGAGACTTGTTTAATCTTTTTTTGCATTCTCAAACTGCTTTCTTGTGTGCTTTGACAGGAGGCTGGAGCCCACAGAAAAACCACTTCAGATTGTGTATGACTACCTGGCTGGGTTGGGTTTTGATGATCCTGTCAGAGTGCAGGAGGAGGCAGCGAACTCTGATCTCAGCTGTATGATTCGCTTTTACAGTGGTAAGAAATCGTGTGTGCACACTGTCGCTGTTCCTGTAGCTTTAACTGTGAGGTGGAACTCCGCTGAAGCCCAGGTCATTGACCTGTTGGGTTTATAGATGGCTACATCAAACACCTGAATTACCAGTAAGCATTTCTTAAAATAATGAGTTTTCAAGATTAATAGAAAAAACCCACAATTCTGTAGTTCTCTTGATTCTGTCTGTGGCTTGAGGAAAGACAGCGTCACAGGAAGACACAAGATTGCTCTGTTCTCTTTAGTTTCCAATGTTATGACAAATGCCTTAGAGCTCCTCATGGGATCAGAAACATATTGCAGTTCAGTCTAGATATGTCTGCAGTTTTTATTTCCAAAAGGTGCGTGGATATGGGCAAGGAAGGTCTTGATCAAATACCTCCGCGGCCTGTAAATAGAGAGCAAAAATGCCAGCTGGTTAGTAATAATGCAGGCTGCCACTGGAAACCCAGTGCGTTTCACTGCAGAAGCGAGACTTCTGAGTGGGCTGTTGCGTCAGTTTGGGCAGGATACCATGTGCCTAAGGAGCAACAGAATGAGAGTCGTAGGCCCACTGGCATATGGTGCTAGCAGTCAGAAAAGGAATTCACTGAAGTGAAGAGGAAATAGAAAAGAAATAAGGGGGAGGAAAGCTGATAGTGAAATTATTTCATTACTTCTAAATACTTGTTTTGGTGGAAGATTGTTCTTGCATAGTGGAACTGGGTAGCCTGACTAAGCTGCTAACCATCATTTGTTTATTCAGTGTCAGAAAATGGGATCGTAAGAATTCAAATTCTCCACCCCTTTTACCGGAGACAAATCCATTCTGTCTGGGAGCTGTGTGCAGAACAGGCTAAACAGTGTGGAAATATAATGGAGATGGAAAGAAGTATGACGTGTACAGTCTGGATTTATAGGGCAAGGAGCAGGGAGTCAGAAGTTACTTCAGCTGGAAGGAGGAGAGGCATCAAGCATAGGTCTGTAGAGAACTTTTGAGGGAAAAACGAGCAATTCAGTGTGGGTATTTCAAGCTGAACAAGCTGAAGATTCAGGAACAGTGACTCAACTTCATGGGAGCAAGTAAGTAGAAAATAGAACTGAGTAGTTTCAGTCAACATGAGAGGGCAGTCCTGCTCAGCAAGGGCTGTGAAGGAAGGAGTATGAGGATTGAAGAGTGTTCAGGAGACCTGTTATAGGAAAGTGAAAGTAAATGCTGACAAAGTGGTTCTTAAAGGAAGGGAAGGAATTGGAGGGAATGCTGTGGAGGATTATGTGATAATTTTGCAAAGCCTGCAGCTGAGAACACAAGGGATGAAGTAGTGCCTTCTAGTCCGAGAAACAATACTTAGAATCATAGAATCACAGAAGGGTTTGGGTTGGAAGGGACCTTCGAAGGTTGTCTAGTCCAACCCCCCTGCCTTGGGCAGGGACATCTTTCATTAGACCAGGTTGCTCAAAGCCCTGTCCAACCTGGCCTTGAACAGGGCTGGGGCAGCCACAGCTTCTCTGGGCAAGGGGCCAGCCACAGCTTCTCTGGGCACCCCGTGCCAGGGCCTCACCACCCACAGAGTAAAACATTTCCTCCTTATATCCAGTCCAAATCTGCCCTCTTTCAGTTTATGACTATTGCCCCTTGTGCTGTCACTACAGGCCTTGATAAAAAGTCTCTCTGCACCTTTCTTACAAGCCTCCTTTATATACTCAAAGGCTGCTCTAAGGTCTCCCCACAGCCTTCCCTTCTCCAGGCTGAACAGCCCCAGCTCTCCCAGCCCTTCCTCACAGGAGAGGTGCTCCAGCCAGCTGACCATTTCCATGCCCTCCTCTGGCCACACTGGAGTGCTGAGGGCAGCCTGCGTATTTCTTTCACCCCTTGGGAATGTCTCTTGGATTGCTCTGCTCTCTTCCCGCATTTCTGTCTGCCTTTCTCGTGTGATGCTCTGGGTTTGTTTCTTTCCCTGGTGCATGGGGACTACTTATGCCCAGATGGGGTGATGGGACAAAAGTGCGTTAACAGCAATCTCACATTAAACAGCAGTGAGAGGGAGGCACGCTTCCTGAAGCCTGGCTGTTGAGATGCTTGTAGGAGCCCAAGAGTTCTGTGAGGGGAGAGGATGTGTTAGATAGGCTGGGAGGATGGGGGAGGGCTTCCTCACAATGGAAGTCAGTTGCAGAATGGAGGCCGCTGACCCAGGCTGGATGGGGCAAGCTCAGAGGCCAAATGTGGCGGGGTTTATACATACTTCAACAACAGATCAGAAGGAAGCAGCTCTCCAGGGCCATCAAACTGTTGATCTATGTCAGCTGTGACAGGCGTGAATGGGAGAGGGTCACGCACTTTCCCTGGTGGGGAATCGTCTTGATTCCCTGTACTGCTATAGCTGGACTCATGTAACTGGTGAGGTGCTGTCAGAGCTGCTAGCTCTGTCTGCTGATGACCTGTGTCCTTGCTCTCCATGGGGAAGCCCGTGCTAACTGGAGCATGGAGTTAAGCATGATCACAGTGACATTCAGGCCCAAGCTCAGGAGCTGCGAAGAGTGACAGGAACTTGCCTGTCCCTAGAGGTTAAGACCATTCTTACACATAGCTTGAGGAGTTGTGAAATAGCTGGAAGAGTCCTTGAACATTGACCCTGGGTGTCTCCTTAGCACTAGGATATAGGTGTCATGGGTGTTTCGGAGAAGATAGGGAAACTGGAGGATTGGTGTTCTTTAAAGTGTTCGGTTAAGTGACTGGAAAATTTTCCTAGCCAGTAAGACAGTATGAACAGTGGGCAGAATATTGAAAAGATCTGGGAGATCTGTTATCTGGGGGGGGGGCGGGGGCAAGGGGGTAGGATGACCTAAAAGTGAGTGTGTGTGCATTAGAAGGCTGAAGCAGGATTCTGCTTTGCTGGTTAGAGTCATAGTTAGCAGTGCACCCAGCACAGCTGTAACAGTCACTGCTGGAGTCCTTGCACTTGGATCCTCTTCAGGGAAATAGCTTTCTTCTGTAGCTGATTTTCTAGGCCTTCCTTTAAAGCCCAGTAGAAGCTGCTTATTTAGTAATTTCTGTAACTTCAGCTGACTCATCAACAGTTTGAAACTGCTTTTCTATTGAGTCTGAACAATGTTTGGCAAATGTTCTTGTTTGCTAAGGTCTTTAATTACCTGTAGATTAAAAACACACTACACTGCAGCCATTATTACATTGTACTGCAAGGCAGCCAGTGGTTGCTTGTCAGACATTACTGCACTGACTGAGGATGTTGCTTGTCCTCTGCATGAGGTTTAAAGTGCAGCCTGTCTCATCTTTACTTGTTCTTTCCTGTAGCTGATTCTGCATGTTCTGCTGTGGTGCTGTTTGTGCTCATAGCTGAGAATGAAAAACAAACGGAAAGTAAATGCTGATGTCCCCTTTTTCTTCAGAAAAGCCGTGTCAGGTGGAACAGTTGGATCGCATCCTGCTCTCTGGAGTCTATAACGTACGCAAAGGGAAGACCCAGCTGCACAAGTGGGCAGAGCGCTTGGTAATTCTCTGTGGGACATGCCTCATTGTGTCCTCTGTGAAAGACAGCCACACGGGGAAGATGCACATCTTGCCGCTCGTTGGAGGGAAGGTGAGACTTTGTTTTTAGCTTCCTGTGGCTTAGAAAGGAAGAAGGGATTATAATGATGGGTATTATCCACAAGAGGTTAATCTAGGCTTCTGTAACAAATTACTGCAGTAACATGTGCAGAGAGTTGTACAACCCCTTTCTACGTGCTCTGCTTAGGTAGTAGTCTTAAGGCTAATAAAACAGAGACACTAGTTCTGCTTTCGTGTTAGTAGCCAATGCTGTGAATGGGCTGTGTTTCTCTCCAATAGCTTTACAGCTGTGCTTTCAGCAAAATGTAATGTTACTGGTGGTTGGTAACACCGCGCCCCAGACTGCAGCTCCATTGTAATTGTAGGATTTGAGGCAGACTACTGTGTCTTCCATTCTCCCTTTGCAGGTGGAAGAGATGAAGCGTCGGCAGTACACCCTTGCTTTTACATCTGCTGGAGCACAAGCTCAGACATACCACGTTTCCTTTGAAACGCTGGCAGAGTGCCAGCGGTGGCACCGACAGGCGTCCACGGTGAGGCCCTGGGGACCGCAGTGGTTCAGGTGGTGGGCACGCGGGTAAGGAGGGTTTTCTGGTGCAGGCCGGGTGTGCAGGCAGAGATGAAGCTATGATGCTGGAGAAAGTACCCAGAATGGTTTCCAGCTTTCTCCATTTCTCACGTGCTCAGGACTACGGAGGTTTTCTTTTGGCCTTCTCTTCTCTCTCTGCCTGTGCAACAGTGTTCAGTAGTAGTTCTGCATTTTTTTCACCCCCGCTGGGCCTGTTCAGAGTAGCTAATCACAGGTTACTGGAGCAAACCCCAGCGACTGGCTGACTTTGCAGCCATAGAAACCTGTAAATTGCACCTCTTCCCGTAATTGAATCTGCCTCAACTGTAGCCTGGTCCTGGTGTGGGGCAACACCGACAGGTCTGAGTGAACACAGAGGTCAGCAAGGGAAGTGTAGCTTGTTCAGCGCTGCGTCGTTATTCCGCGTGAAGGTACAATTAGATGGCGATAGCTTAACGCTGAGCCACACTTTGACCTCATGTATCTCCATACAATATTATGAAATATGAAATGAGTTCAGGATAAAGCAGGTCGTAAAATCTGTAATGAAGCACTGAAGGCCTCGCAACAAAGCATACTTACTGAAAGGAGATCTGATATTTGCAAAGACTTTGTGAAATGTTGCAAAACCATAATTTATCAAGCGTTTTTATCACAGCAGGTTATGTTTCCAATATTACACCCTGAACAATCTAATAAAAGAAAGCTGGAAGAAGTAGCTAGGCCAAGCAGAGGTTCTGTAAACCTTAGAGGACTGAACTGGAAAGTCAGCTGCTTCCTGCTGCTGCTCGCATCTTTGGAAGGCATTTGGGGATTATGCTTTCTCAGGCAGAGTTTCCTCAGCCAAACACCTAGTTTTCTCCATTAGGTTGGCTTTCTTATGGTCTAGCTTTTAGGTAGCGCCCATTGCACATACTGAGCAGGGCTTTCTGTGTGTCCTAGTTGGTATCCAGATATGCATCCTTGTCAGAGAGCTTGCAGCAGCGATAGTCCTGCACGGACTCTACCTGGTGGGTACAAGGGGGTTCTTCCATGTTCTGACAAATTGTTTTCTACTTGTGTTCTTTGGCCTTCCATTAGACTTCCAGAGAAAAATTGTTGCACAGCGCTGTAGCTCTTCCTTCTTCTTTTCAGGTTGTGTCTATGCGACTTAGCATGGTTGATCTTTCCTGCTACAGCCTTGAGGAAGTACCTGAGCACCTCTTCTACAGTCAAGACATCATCTGCCTCAACCTACGACATAATTTTATGAGATCTAGTGGAGCAGGGAGTCTTGAGTCTCTTTGCAGGTCTGCAAAGTCTTATTCTTCTTGTACATTTGTAGTTTTTGACATGGGCATCCAGGGATGAAGAGGAGGGGGAGTGTATTCTCACGGGATGGTAAAAAGATTGATCTTTAGGAAGCTCTAACAAATGAGGAGGCTAGCAAGCAGAACTGAATGGTGCAGGCAGGCATAAGCTTCCAACAATTTACAGTATTTGTGAACTCCCTTCCATAGATTCTTTGTGCTAAGTTTGATTTGAGGTGAGCCTTGTGGAGCAATATGCCGTTTGTAGGGACAAGATGCAAGAGTGATATAAGGCTGCTTGCTAAACGGAGAATGTTTTGGGATACAAAATAAAAGATATGGGAAAGCATAATGCTGCTGTTGTGGGTAAGTGTTTGTAGGAAGAAGTGCAGATCTGAAGAAGCCTGTTTTGGTAAGTTCTTGATGTTAATGTGCATTGGAATCGGCAGAGGGCCTGTGAGACTCCAGCTTTGCTTTGGGAACTTACAATGATCTGCCGTTAAGAGAGTAGCAGTTGTGTGATGGCATGGAAGCATAACGTAGTCGTCTCAGGTAAGTGAAGGAGTCTCACAAAAATCCTGTTAATTCCTGAAAACCATAAAAAACTAGAGGAAGATTAGTCTGTTGGTATCTACACTAATCATGCTAAAAACAATTCAAGGAGTCACTCTATGAATTTCAAAAGCCGTTAGGAAGCCTGTAGTAATATTGTCAAATGGGTCTGTGTTTGGAACACGTTGTGCCTTAAGTAAAATGTATTTGGAAAAACTTCGCAAAACTGCAGGTTTTTCTTTTGGTTTGTTTTATCTCTAGCTACCTATTACCAGGTTATTTCATTTTTTTCCTACAGTGGAATGAGATACCTGGGTATCCGTGACGGTATACAGGGGAAAAAAATTGCTCACCTCTGGGAATTTTTTGCACTTTCATTAAGGGGCAGAGTCTAGTCTGGTTTTGTTTTAATTCTAAACTTGTTTAAATGTTTTCTAACTGCTGAATTGTAATAGATTCTGTTATTGGAAAAGCTGCTTAAAATAATTCAAAATTTTGCTTTCTACCTTTTTCTTCGAATACATTGTATGATGTTGAAAACCGTATCAGAACTTTATTTTCTAAAATGCGGTATCCTTGGTTCACAGGATCAGCAAAGGGGCTTGAAATTTCTTTTGACCTTGCATGTAGTCAACAAGAGATCTGACATGTCAGAAACTCGACTCTTTTCCTGGCAGTGACTATGTCTGATGAAGCTGAAATCCTCAAACAAACAAAAGCCATAAAAGAAGCCCTCACTGCACACAATCTTGAATAAACAGGTAGCATTAGGTAGCCCACATAAGGCTGCTCATTGCCTTTTGAAAAGATTTTCTTTCTGAGGTTTTTAGCATGTTTATCAGGTCACAGCCCCAAAGGAAGAAACTTGCTCACTTGCAGTAGGTGTTGCCATTGCCTAGAGACTGACAGTTCCGAACAGCAGAACTTCTTGCAATGATCGAATCTCTTCCTCTGAGGAAGTCTTTGAAGCTCTAGGAGTCTAATTAGCTGTATCTATAATAAGCGAACAAAAATAATTAACTAAAAGGGAAATGTTAAGCAAAGGAAATTAAATAACCCCACCTGTTTTGTTACATCTCCTAGCTGATTTTTTATGTAACGTACTGCCTTTCAAGTATCTCCCTTTTCTGGAAAACATTATCGAGTCTGATCTTTGTTGACAAGTGTGTGTGTGCACACGCATGTGTGTACCTATACGTGTCCATTATTGCCATTCTAGCTAGTTGATCCAGAGTTGTACTGGGATGCTTTGGCAGCAGAGCAGGATGTTGCATTAAATTGGGAATATTTCAGGCCAGGACCAGTGAGGGCTGCTGAACAGAGGATGGCCATCCCATTGATTTGCAAATCTCTTTGCTGTAACCTTAATATGGCCAGTGAGAACACAGACCAAAACTTGAGGGGCCGTAATAATTTGGGGATCCTTATTCTCTGTAATACGTAGTTCATGTATACAACTTGAATGACAGTCGGGTTTTCTTTCCATTCCTGCATCCCTACTGCTTGAGAATATTGGACCAAAGGAGAAGGAACAGAAGGATAACTTGGAAGGCTTTTGAGTATTGAGCTCCCCATTGACAGTCTGCTCGAGGAGTCTCAGACCAAGCTGGGTCATGTACCAGCTTCCCTCCAGCTTTTGGAAACTTTTATGCCCCTTTTGTGTTTGCTTTAATATTGTTGCAGAGGGATGAATTCTAAAAATTGGTTATGCTGTTTCATTTAATGCTGTGCCTCTTGGGGCAGCTTCTCACCACCCAGTGCTAATGACGGAGAAGGAGCTGCTTGGTGTTAAGGGCAGGTGCCATAGAAAAAGCCATTGTAGAACTCCAGAGAAAGCCGTTTCATTAAAGAGTTTTTTGATTCCAAAACCTGGGAACTGTGATCTGTCCTAAATCTCTGAAAGTTGAACCAGTTAGTGAGAAAGTTCAGATCTGTAGGTTTATCCTCATTGTTTTCTTCTTTTCCATTATTGTTATGGAGTTCTGTGTGCAAGTTTCTGATTTTTGTATCATTGTTAGATCTTTGCATCATAGAGTATGTTCCCTTTAGGAAGGCTGTTACCAATACAGCATCTTTCCCTTCAGCTTTCAGTTGCGTTACAAGACAGTCTGCTTGTGGCTGCAGCAAACATAAAATGCCTGTGCCCTTATTTATATGACATGGTGCTTTCTCAAAGCAAACAACCCCTGTCCAAGTTTCGGATATGCTTCCTCTTATAAAAAAACAACACCCACCCCCCTACCCCCCCAAAGATCTTAAAGCAAAATGGAGGAATAGAATGCGTAGTTCCTACACAGATCATTCCAAGTGTTCTGAATATGAAGAAGGAGTCGCTATCAAGAAGAACAAATTTCTAAACCTTTCAGTCTTATACTTCAAGACATCTCAAGCTAGCAGTAATATTCTCCCTTAAGCTAATTAACCTTGGTTTTGTTACATATATTAAAACATTTGCTTCAGAATAAGAGCTACTCACCATTACCGAACAAAAAATTATGGTAGGTGGAGCAGATGAATGAACTATATGTTTCCAAGAAGTACTTCTCTGGTACAGTACATTAGATTCACTGTTGTCTCATGAAAGTATGATATTAATTTGCCCACTGAATTAATTTGTGATGGTTCCAGTTTGGGATGGGGAGGTTATTACCTAGGGAGAAATACTTTTGTTTCCTGTAGGAAGACGTAGGAACCCTTTGAGAAGGACCTCTTGCACATTACCCCAGCCCATGCTTAGTTTCTTCTCTCTGTTTGGACCTAGCACAGTGATAGAAGGAGCTGGAACAGGCAACCAACCATCTGTTACGCCCAGGTGGGACCGCAGGGACTGGGAGGGCTGTGTCAGTACTTGTGTGGCCGTACCTATGGTACGGTCTGCCAGGCAAGTGGCACTTCAGAGGTGGAATCTCTTCCAGGGACCTCTGGGTGCAGGTCTCTGGGCTTCTGAGTGTGAAGTCATTGCTTTCCTGGGTTTCCCTTGACAGCTCCACGAGGCCTTCTGTTGTGCCTCGCTTGAAAAGGGTGTTCCCCTCTTCTGTTTTATTCTTGGAGTAGTTCCCATTAATGTTTTCAGCTCCTGTTTTCCCAAGCTGCATAATTGTAGACTGTTACTCTAGATAATTCTTTGAAGGTAAATTTTTTGAACTGAGTATTTTTAGTCTCCTTAATCTTAGTAACAGTCACTAGGAGGAAGCCTGTCAGGAATCAGGGTAGAAAGTTGTTATCAGTTACTGCAATAAAACCATGGTATTTGATCATTTTCAGCATTGCCACAAAGATACAAAATATGAGTGACAATTTGTGCAGAAACTCCCATAATGAGTTAGCCGACTGTATTGCCAGCATACAAAGACTTCAGAACTCTTTGTGACTGGTTTTGTATATTTTTTGCTTTGAGACCATGGAGGTTTGTGAATTAACTAGTATTCTTGCCAACAGGTTTTCTCAGTTGAAGAGCCTGAACCTGTCTCATAACAGACTGGGAGAGTTTCCTGTATCACTGTGCGAGATCTCTACTCTGACAGAGCTTAATGTTTCCTGTAATGGACTTCATCACTTGCCAAGCCAGATTGGGAAACTGTTGAAGTGAGTATATGCTTTTTATCTGTGGTCATAGACATCCTTGGTGCTTTGGCTGAGCACAGATGACGTGAAGGTACTACTTAGCAATGTACTAGTGCTGGCACAGCCTGTTCTGCCCATGAAGACTGAATGGTGGATTTGGCTTTAGTAGGCATGGTAGTGTTGGGTTGACAGTTAGACTTGATGATCTTAGAAGTCTTTTCCAACCAATGATTCTATGACTCCAGCAGAAGGTCAGGAACCAAGCTGTCCAATAAGATTTGTTTTTCCTTGAAAATGAAGATATCCCAGTATGTTTATACAGTTGCCATTTTAAGTCACTGGTATATAGCAAGCTATCATTCATCATTTGTGACTTCCTGCCTATTCCACTAGCTGTGTAAAATATACTAGTACATATCAGTTTTCTAGTAGAGGAGATTATTAATGGATTTTGCCTATTTTGGAGTGGCCTAGGGAGACAACAGTCAGGTATGACGCTTTGAATCACAGCCGCTACCTTGCTGAACTAGAGTAAATGTGAGGGCTCTAAGCATATGAATATACTCTCACTTGAAGTCTAGTCGTGAAGCTTTTCATCTTCTCTGTGGGGTGTGAGTTTTGCGTGGTTTGGTTTTGAGGGGTTTTTTTTGTTTTTACTTTGGGGTGACTGGTATGATTTCTTGCAGGTTTATGTCCAATTTCTATATAAATTTGAACACATCTTGTTCTCTTTGCATCTGCTGCCATCTCGCATTCCCTTGCCTGCTTTCTTGTTATTTCCTTCCTACATTTTCTTCTAATTTTCTTTAAACTACTATTATGGTGGTGCCTTATTGATTAAACATAAATATTGTTATGTGTACATAAAAACAGTTCAGAGTTTCTAAAGATCGTGCTGTCAAGGACATTTCCGGAAGCCACAGATTAGTGGCACAGCAGTGACAGGATGAGGGGTAATGGTTTTAAACTAAAACAGGGTGGGTTTAGGCTGGATATAAGGAAGAAATTCTTTACAATGAGGGTGGTGAAACACTGGAACAGGTTGCCCAGAGAGGTAGTGGAGGCCCCATCCCTGGAAACATTCAAGACCAGGTTGGACAGGGCTCTGAGCAACCTGATCTAGTTAGTGGTGTCCCTGCTCGCTGTGGGGGGGTTGGACTAGGTGACCTCTAGGGGTCCCTTCCAACCCCAAACTTTCTATGATTCTATAATTCTAATGCAGCGAAACATCTATGGAGATCAGCTGGGCTGTGTAGAACTAGGGAAAAATACACATGCCCCTCAAATTCTGAGGCCTGGCCTGCGGGCCTGATTTGTACAAGTGAGAGCGTGCTGGCTATATTGCTGCAGTATTCATAAATGTCAAAAGGGATTTCAGATTTCTTAACTGTATGCAAGTTTAAAGTATAAGGGTACCTTACAGGACCAAAGACAGTTGCAGGTGCAATTGCTTAATCACTACTATTAAAACATTACGGCTGCTGATGTAGAAAAGATGAGGAAACATGATGCAGATGAAGCATTGTCTGAAGACAGTTGGGTTGCTTCTCAAATAAGTTAATGCGCATTTTTCTGCAGCTGCAGAGGTGTGTGACTTTCTGAATTTCTGTTTATAATTTGCATTTAATGTTTGCAATACTGATGCAGTTTCTATTAAATTTTAATTTGTTGTGTAAAACTTTTCTGTGTTAACTTCTCACAGAGGTCAAGTGATTTTTGTCAGGACTAGTATATTTTGATAGCTTTCTACAGAATTGGTTGCTTTTTGTGTGAGAGGATTTTAACAAGGAAGTAATTGGGCGATCCCCTCTGAAAAATTTGCCTTAAAGTGTTTGCTGGAGTAAAAACCTTCTCCATTTTCACCAGTAGCTACCCAGAATGCATAAAAGCTTAAGCTTAGGTAAATTTAATTGCAGGACTATTGTTCCATTTGTTTAGATAAACATTGATATTGAGTTGTTGGTTCATTGTGGCCTGCTCTTCCTCCAGCTTATATCTTTAAAAAAAGGAGTATCTGCAGCTACATTGGATGTAAGCAAGTAGCTGTCTGTAAACTGTGAGGAAAAAGTTGTAAGCAGGCTTACAGTTTTCAGAGTTTTACAGCTTAGCTATGGGTCCAGTCATCTTTATGCCCTCTTGAGCCCTTATTCGTAAGAACTTTTACGGCCCCAGATTGCCTTTCAACTACTGCTAAACACGGTTCAGAAAGTTCTTTGTTGCAAGATAATCCTAATGAGGGAATTGCATTTTGGGGGTTTGAGTCTCAAAAGCTATGCAAACTTTAAAGCAATTCATTTTGCAACAGAAAGGTACCCTGTTCTTTTTCTGAGTGTCTGAAAGGACAACTGGAATGTAAAAGTCTGTTATCAGTGCATTCGTGTGATAGGAATTGTGATTAAACTGTGCCGTAAGTGCCACAGGTGTAAGTGCCATGAGAGTGATACGAGATTGCAGCAACTGGATGATGAAGGTGCAGTTGATTTTTATTGTTTCTTATGAGACAGGTCTGTGCTGTCACTGCTGTCGTTTCTGGTTCTAGTTTGTCATAGGTCTTTAAAGATTGTGCAGCATGCTAAGTGAGGAGCTCTGAAGTTGTAGAAAACCAAGTGATTAAGTAAATATGTTTCATTTACAACATAAGTACTGATTTGTATTTTGCTTATGTTAACTTACAGTCTTTGGCACAACTGGAAGTTTACCTCCAAAATAATTTAGGAACTATTTGGTATTGCATATATGCAGTTCCAAGCCTATTACACTCATAACAAAAGTACTCCAGTAACTTTATGTGTATAAGAATAAAATTAGCTGTTAGGTATGTTAAAAAAATACCCACACTGAGACCAGCTAGCTATACGAGGAAATTCCCTGAAAATGCTAAATGTGATGCTCACTACTCTTTGCTGAATTATTTTCTTTCTCCTTTTAACATCTGCAGTCTCCAGACTTTCTGGCTTGATGGGAATTTCCTCACGTCCTTACCAGAAGAACTGGGAAGTCTGCAACAGCTCAGCTGTCTTGGGCTTTCCTTCAATAACTTCTGTGAACTGCCAGCAATTTGTGAGAAACTTGTCATCTTGGACAAACTATCCCTGGCAGGGAACTTGCTGGAGAGCCTGGACCTTGCAGTGCTGAATCGTATGAGTCACATCAAAAGTGTGGACCTGAGGTAAGAGGGCAAAGCTTGCATATGTATACAAACCAGATTGCTACTTTCCATTTACAGCAGAGGAGCTGTGTAACATCTAGTACATTCTGCAATAAACTGGGTGTAATTTTTTCTCTTATTCTTTAGCTTTTAGGGAGCTGTGTTTCTGAGGGCATGCAGAATTCACTTAGAGAAGCAAGGTTAACCAAGCAATGCCTGAAGCCACTGAATGTGACTCAGCCCTCTAGTTCCATCTTTTGATATGCTGTTACCATGAGCTTCAGTAGCTCTTTGGTCTCTTCTACCCTTTTTTGCCTGCCTTCCCCCCTGCCCTAGAGATGTGATCTGATTCTCCAGACTGTCAACTGCAGAGCTCTCAGCAAGGGACAAAGAACTTTTTGTCCGTGGCCAGGCAGTCTAGTATCTGGTCTCTGCATTAGCTTCCCGTGTCAGCACAAAGTAGCTGTCCCTTGGCCTGGCTTCTAACTTCTAGACTGGTCTTCAGAATCTCTTAAACACTGGCGAATGAGGAAAATGGTTTCACATAGCAGTGCAGACAAGGGAAATGTTTCTCTTGGTATTTGCTGCCTGAAATCCACCATTGCTCCTCACTCATTTCACTCTGCTCAGCTTTGGTGTTAGCCTTCACCAGAGCTCTGCCTCTCCTCTTCTTTCTTCTCTCTTCTTACTGACACCCAGTATTTTCTGACTTTCTCTTATCTCTGAGTATTTAGGCTAAACAACCTGAAGAGAGCAGCAGCTGACACTTTGGAGGTGAACAAATCTGTGACTCACATGGATTTACGAGACAATCAGATGACAGATCTGGATCTGAGCTCCTTGGGCAGCCTGGAGCAGCTGCACTGTGAGCGGAATAAGCTGAAAGAGTTGACGCTGAGTGGCTTCTCCCTTCGGGCCCTCTATGCCAGCAGCAACTGTACGTCTCTTTGTCTTTTTCACCTGTCTTCCTCCTTCAAGCCCTGGGAACAAAGGAAGACAGCCCTTTGCCCACTCCTGCACACAAAAAATAGTTGCACTGATGCTACAGTAGTGAGACCGTGTGTGATGGGTCTTCTGAGGTCAGCTCCTAGGGATCACATGCGCACGTACGTGCAAAGACTGTGTAACAGGGGGAGGTTGTGATGTTGAGTCACTGTCCAAGGAATCCATCTTCCATTGAGATCTGTTTGGGAATCCACAAATAAAAGTACGGTTCTCCCTTGTTCTGGTGCCCCACGTGGCAGATGGAGAAATGGGGTAGTGAGAAGCTGTGGTGCCATATGGCAGACGTATGAAGTGTGAACTCTGTCTTGGGAAAGATGAGTAGAGACCTTGAGTATCCATAAAGTAAGACTGTGAGTCTCACTTGCTAGCTAGTCTGTCTGCTTCTCTGTGCTGTTTCCTCTTTGAAGCTCTGCAGTCATAATTATTTGCTTTACTTCATCAGGTCTGACAGCTATCAATATTTATCCGGTTCCTGGTCAACTGACATGTCTAGAACTCTCTCAGTAAGTGACTATACACCACAGAATATAAAGCAAGTATCTGGACACCTTGGCTCTTTTCTGTGGAAATTTTCTGGAGCTTTTAAGCATTTGAAAGAGTTGAGAACAATTAAGGGAAGGCACTCCATCTTCACAATAGAACTGGAAAGCCCAGGACTAAGGAATGATGAAAGTGTCCCAGACCAGAAGCCCCTCTGAACCAGTATGACCTGTCTAGGTGACGGGCTGTCCTTCAGCTGTAGGCTGAAATCAGCAAAAAAAGCCAAGCAGGGACCACTGAACTTGTGGCGGCTTACTGGGCTGAATGGTGGGAATCTACACAGCAAACATTTAGAGTAGCTGCCAGTGATCTCTGGTGTTGGCTTCATTGTCTGCGTCTGCCCTCGGAGCAGTGTTGTGAGGCCTGTAAGACAGGATGCCTTGATCACCTTTTGCTGCAGTTCTGGGTTGAAGCTCAATAGCAGGATAGCGTAGAGCAGCCTGTTGTGCTGATGTCAGTGTTGTAAACAAAAAGCCTGATGATCAGAGCCTTGCAGCAGTACTTTCTACCACTTGTGCTGCACCAGCTCAGTTACACAGCATGACACAGATCAGTTCCACGTGACTAGCTCGGGTACTGGTGTTTGTTTTCTGCCTGTGATTTTTGGTTTTGCTGTCACTAATGTCATACAGCATTCAAACAGGGTACGGAGTGCTGGTGTCTAGCTTTTCCCCCTTGCTTTTCTCAGCAATCAACTGCAGTGTGTCCCAGACTGGGCCTGTGAAGCAAAGAAACTGGAAGTTTTGGATATGAGCTATAACCTGCTTGTGGAGCTTCCATCGAGGTCAGCACACCTTCTTATACAGAGCTGAACTTTCTTCTCTGGTGATGTGGCTAGGGAGAGAGAAGCAGTGCTATTTCCGTTGCTTTATTCCTTGTTGTGCAGAGATAGAATCCATTTACTTTCTCTGTACAGCATCAAAAATACTCTGTATTCAAATGTTTTAAAGAACTGACTTCCAAATCAGCTTCTTCAATAACAGGGGCCAGGTAATTTCATCCTGTGCGTGTGGTTTCTACTGCAGCAGTTTGCACCTGAAGTGGAACACACTGCTGTGATTTGTGTGTGTTACCATAGTGTCTGTGAACACGCGTCATAGGTCAGGCCCTAGTAAGCCTTGCATTGCCGCACGGAGATTTCATCAGTTATCTTTCATAGGGAGATACCACAGAGATACAGTATAGCTAATCTCAAAGGTAGGTTTCACAACACATATCAGCCAGCTCCTTTCTCCCTGTTTCCCTTTCAGTTTCTGCAGAAATGTGGTAAAGGGGAGCCAAGAACTAATAGAAGTTTGCAGATGTTTATAATGACTTCTCCGGGGTAGCAGGGATATCATGGGAAGAAGCAAAGCACAACTGTTCTTAGCCTAGCAAGTGTTTGCGGGGAGTGTAACTGTAATGAATAAGACACAGTGTCTAGGGTAAGCTATACTGGAATGGAACGGAAGGGTGGGTTACAGTGAAGAAATGCAGGGAGCAGGGTGAAGCAGTTAAAGCAGTGGGCGTCGGAAGTGAGCTTAACAGTGACATTCTAATGGTTGTCGGAAACAAGACTATATACATCAAAAGCACCAAAAGGGCATAACAAAGATGCCATAATGAGAACTTAGAAAAGAATTTTAGCCATGCCAAAGGATGAAAAAGACCAAATTTAAAGTATGTTATGCAAAAAGAACCTGCAGAATTCAGACACGGAAATATATATTCTAAAAAGAGATTTAAGCATCTTTGAAGATTTCTAAGTGCTGGAATTTACTGTATCCACTGAGGATCTCTTCCAGTATGTGTTTGTCATCAACACTGTAAGTATGTCTTGTGTACAGCTTGAACTTTGCCAGCGTTGACTTTCAGCCATTGATTGGGTTAGCCCAGCAGACTAAAGCTTAAACAGCCCTGCATAAGGGGATGTAGTTCACTGTGAAGTTGTCTTTTACACTTAGTTGTCTGAAAAGGGAACTGTATCAAAGTGATGCGCAACAGTGTTGAGTGGAGATGCCCAAGCCAGGTCTGGATGAGTCTGCTTGAATAAGGAAATTAGTGTATCTGCATTTGAATGGACTTTTTTTCCCCCCAGTATAATTAGCTTTGAGAAGCCACAGCATACAGAAAGAAACTGAATGAGTTGGCCTGCGTGGAGCAGTGCACTAGTGCAGCTTTAGTGTTTCGAGTCTCAAAGCTGTTCTGTACGGGGCTCTCAGAATATAGTCCCAAATTACCACCTCACCCAAACGGGCAGGGTGGTTCTAAGCCTTGTTCAGATATCCTTGCTTGAAATTCCTGCAAGCAATTCTCCGCGGTTCATGAGGATAGAGGCCTTATCCTTCAGCGAGCATTGCAATTCTGGAGAATGTGACAACAGCCTCAGAAGTAATGGAGGAGCGCTAAGCAGCCTGTTAAAGCTCTGAATTTAAGCTGGCACAGGAGAAGCACTTCTTTCTGCCTACAAGTGAAGACAAGCATTTAAATCTATCCTTTGTGACTTCTTTTTTGTCTGCCTGAGAGACATGCTAGGCATGTGCACACAGACTGACCGGTATCGCAAGTTACTGACCTGCAGTAGCAGAGAGGGAAATGTCGATACACTTCCAAGCATTCAGAGTGACTGAGGCGCCCTGCCACGTGTGGTTTTCGGCTTTGTCATTGTTTACATTTTACAAATCAGTGTATTTTAATTTTTCTCTGCTGTACAGTCAGATTATAATGGGTTAAATACTATGTTTTCCCACTCTGTGGATGTGGAGTGAACCAAGCTGATACAGAAAACCCTGTGTCTTTCTAGGATCCTCAGCAGCTTGAGCCTTCGGAAGTTGATGGTGGGGCACAATCGTCTGCAGAGCCTTCCACCTCTTCTAGAACACATTCCACTGGAGGTGCTGGACCTTCAGCACAACCTGTTGACCAAACTCCCGGAGATGCTCTTTGTCAAGGCTCTGAAGTGAGTGGCAGTAGCGAGCACCTTTTGTCTGCAGTACCCTTTGGAGCCGTTAAGGCTGCTGGTTGTGGCGTCTGCATGGCTGTCCTTGCAAGGTGCCACTTGCATAAGGCGTGCACTTTATGAGGAGGTAATTCAGGTGCCGTAAGGGAAGCCATCAAGCTGAATCTGTCCGTGTTATTGTTTAATTACAGGAAAACAGAGGCTTGCCTAACCTAGCAGCCAACTAGAGAATTAGCTTCAGGTGCAGCTGTTTCTAAGATCATGTTACTGCCTGAAGAGCTTTGTCTTTAAAAGTGGTGTGTAAATTCAGGTGCAAAGGAGAGAAGCCGTGCAGATTTTCAGACATCACAGCAGAAAGGACATCAGGTCATTGGAGAACAGAGTTGAGACCCTTGCGAATGAACAACCCTTCATAATTGTCTATTCAGACATGAGTAAACCCTTCTTTTAAAGACTCTTGAGTAAAGAGTTTATGTAGTCTACTTCCACCAGTATTACCCACCCCCTCCACAGGCTCTTCAGTACTCAGTTTACTGTAAAATGCTGTGTGCATCCACAGTGCTATATAGCTAATAAGTAATTAGCAGACTCATAAATCGTAACATGAGTAGGGATGTCGCACTGTGTTGTCTGGCCTCCCATCTAATGCTGTTGCTTTGTGCACGCTGGTGTTTGTATAGCTCCTTTTCCTGCTGTTAATGGAGGGGTTTAGATGATGTGAAGTCTGATTTTTGCATTTGCTGTGGTTAGCCTCAGGTACCTGAATGCATCTGCAAACAGCCTGGAGTCCTTGCCCTCTGCGTGTACAGGGGAGGAGAGTCTGAGCGTGCTGCAGCTGCTTTACTTGACCAATAATCACCTCACAGATCAATGCATCCCTGTCTTGGCGGGACACCCCAGCCTACGGATCCTGCATCTGGCAAACAACAACCTACAGACCTTCCCCGCAAGGTAAGTCAGTCCGGCTGGCGGGCGAGGCAGTGCTCACTGGGGGGATGTTGCCTGCCTTACTGCGATTGTGTGTGAATCCGTGTCAGAGCAAGATGCTCTCCCTGCGGCCTGATGACAAAAGCCTGTGGTTCCTACACACGCACTGAGGAACGGCGTGTTAAGGGGGACGGGCACAGGGTACTGTGGGCTGCGGTGGTTCCTGTCCTCCTGGTTGTGGTGATCGCCTGGGGGGGATCAGGGCAGTATTTCTTCGCAGCTTCAGTGCTGCTGGCGTGCAGCTGGCTGTGCTGCTTTTGTTCACTTTTCAGTCTTGCCAGAAAGCCTCAGTCAGACTTGTCTGAACTCCTGCCCAGTGCAGGTCATATAATTTCGTCCATTCATTCATGCACAAGGCTTATGGTTTGGAGATGAAATACAGATAAATCTATGCTCAGCACAGAAACTATAGAGGCTGGAGAGTCCCCTGCATTCCTACTAAGTTACTCTAGTTACTATCAATTACATAAGTCTGTATCTTATTTTTCAGTGAGAATTATTTGTCTGCTTCTTTTTACTAGTATATCACGCTGTCTTTCTAGTATGAAAACTACGTAGTATGAGATATTTTTATGTGGTGCAGTTGACTGGATAGAAGGAAGGAAAGTCAGCCAGAGGGCCTTGACAGGCTTGAGGAATGAGTCCGTGTAAACCTCGTGAAGTTCAGCAAGGCCAAGTGCAAGCTTCTGCACCTGGGTCAGGGTGATTCCCAATATCAGTACAGCCTGGAAGCTGAATGGATTGAGAGCAGCCCTGAGGAGGACTTCGGGATACTGGTGGGTGAAAAGTGGGACATCAGCTGGCAATGTGTGCTTGCAGCCCAGAAAGCCAACCGTGCCCTGGGCTGCAACGCCAGCAGCATGGGCAGCAGGATGAGGGGGGGGGGGGGGGTGGGGCCCCGTCGCCCCAGCCT